CACATTGGTCCCGGAGCCTGGATCTACCGCGCCGCACATCCCCCCCAATCATTGCCCCCTGGTCGGGAGGGGGGCGGGGGCACGCCGGAGCCCCGGCGCGCCGGGCGCTAGACCGCGGCCAGCGGTGAGAAGGGACCAGAAGGAGCCAGAGCCGCGGGGGACGCCGGGGGGGGGAGCGCGCGTCCCGCGCGCCCGGCGTGTCCCCCCGGCCGTGCCCCTGTGGCGGCCGCTCCCCCGCTTCTGTTCTCCGGGGCTTCCTGCTGCGCGCCGCGCGCGGCCCGCGGGGCCGGGCCGCGTCCGCGCGCCAGATGCGCTTCGCCCCCCCCCCTCCCAAAGTTCCCCTCACGCCCTGAAGCCGTGTGCTACCGCCCCCCCCCCCCCCCCCCCCCCCTCCCCCCCCCCCCCCCCCCCCCGCCCGCCCGCCCCCTTTGCCGGGAGCTGGCGCAGGGGCCGGGACTAGCGCGTGAGCCGGAAAACGTGCATCCGGCCAGCAGCTGCCGGCTCGGCCGCACGCACGCGCGCGCGCGCGCGCACACGCGCACGGGCGGAACCACCCCCCCCCAGGCAGCAGGGCCCGGTTTGAAGCTCTCGCCCCTGGCCTCCTCCGGTGCGCGATCCCCTCCCCCTGCCCCCGGGCGTTGGCATGCAGTGTCTATGCTGCCGCCCCCCCCCGCCCCCCCGCCCGGCGGCCACAGGAGCCCGGGGGTCGGTCGGGACCGGGCGGCGCCTCCCCAATCGCCAAGCCCAGGGGACGAGACGCCGGGAGCCCCTTTTGACACTTGCCCCGGCCGGGCTCTGGCCCCGGCCGGACGCGAGCGACGGACGATACCCCGCCGGGCGAAGCCCATCCCGGCACCGGGGGAGGGGGGATGGCCAAGACCGTGTGAGGGGCGCGCGCGCGCGCGCGCGTGCACCCCCGGCACGGAGAGACCGAGAGAATGCCCCCCGGCCCGGACACCGCGTCGGGCGACCGCGCGAACAAATCTAGAGCGGGTCGGGCCGCCACCCCGACGCGCCCCAGCCCCGGGGACCGGCCGACAACTGCCAGCCCGTTCTCCCGGCGTGTCCCCCCTCCCGCCCCCCCCCCCCGGTTGCCAGCTCGCGGCCCCGGGCCGGCGGCATGCATGGGCACGGGCCCCGGGCGACTGAACTGGCAAGCACACGCGCGCGAATGCGCGAACACAGACACACACACACAGACACACGCTGGGGGGGCATCAGTGACGCCGGTGGCGGCGATTGAAGTGCCTCTCGTCCAGTGCCCCTCGCTCTCCGCCGCCCCCACCAGTAGCCAGCGCTTGGATCCTTTCTTCCCGCGGAGTTTCTCTGTGTGTCCCCCCCTCCCCCTGTGCTTTGGCGATCTCCCTCCTCCCCCTCCTCCTCCCCCCTCCTCCTCCTGCGCCTCCCCTCCTCTCCCGTCTCCCTGCCACCTTGTGCCTTGCTTCTCGTCCCTCGCCTGTGGTCCCTCGTCCCTCGTGTCGTTCTGCGTTTGGCCGCGCCCGGCGGCGCTGTACCTGCGTCTGGTCCCCACTCGCGCCTCCACTAACCTCACGCCCTGCTTCTCTCGCTCTCCTCCCTCCTCGCGCCGGCTCTCCCCCCTCCCCGCTGACGCCAGCTTTTTCCGGTGTTCGTCATCCCATCCCCCCTCCCGGCCCGGTCACGCTCACGCTCACGCTCACGCTCACACCCCGTCATCCCCCCCCCCCCCGTGTGCAGGCCAGCTCTCACGCGCACTTGACGACGTGTGCCCACATCGCCACACCTCCCTTCCCCGTTTCCACCCGCCTCCCCCCCAATTCCGCGTCCGCCGTCGCGCCCCATCCCCTGTGTCACCACCATGGAGGGCGGCCCGCTTAATGTCTATAATCTGGACGTCAGCGCCCTCGATCAGATCGTCAAATCCTTCCACAATGGCACCGATGTGCGTGCCATGCCCCCGCCCCCTTCCCCCCTCCCTCTCTGTTGTCTTCCTCCCTCCCGGGGTTACCCTCCCAGCCGGACACACTGGGGTCCATCGCCCGTGCTGACAACCTGCCCGCCCGCCCGCCCGCCCGCCCGCCCGCTCGCCGCCGCCACCCAGGTGATGAACGCCCAGGCCCTGCTGGTCCAGTTCCAAGACCACCCCGAGTCCTGGACGTGCGTGGACAAGATCCTGGAGAACTCCACCTTCGTCCCGACCAAGGTATGCTTCCTGTCGGCGCCCCTCGCAGTCGGCCCCCGGCCCCGCGCATGCCATGCTCACCCTACTTCGCTCCTTCCCCCCTCCCCCTCTCCTGGCACAGTTCCTGGCCCTCCAGATCATGGACAAGCTCGTCCAGACCCGCTGGAACCTGATCCCCCGCGAGCAATGCGAGGGTGCGTTGGCTTTTGCTCCCCCCCCCCCTCCCCCGCCGGCCTGCCTGCGCCCCGCTCACCTTCTTTCTCCTTCCCTCCCTCCCTCCGTGCCGTGTCCTCGCTCCGCTCGCGGGCCAAAGGCATCCGCAACTTCCTGGTCACGCACGCCATCTCTCTGGCCCGCGATGAGGCCTTCATGTCGGCCAACGCCTCGTACATGCACAAGCTGGACCTGGTCATCGTGCAGATCATCAAGCAGGACTGGCCTCACCGCTGGGAGTCTCTCATCCCGGATCTGGTGGGATCCAGTAAGACCAGCGAGAGCATTTGCGAGAACAACATGATCATCCTGAAGCTCCTCAGGTGCGACCTCCTCCTCTCTCCCTCTTGCTCTCTCCCTCTTGCTCTCTCCATCTTGCTCTCTTCCTCTTGCTCTCTCCATCTTGCTCTCTCCATCTTGCTCTCTCCATCTTGCTCTCTCCATCTTGCTCTCTCCATCTTGCTCTCTCCATCTTGCTCTCT